AAGGGATTTGGATTGGTGAATCGATTTATTGGATATTCACAGGTCGTAACTGCAATTAGTTCTTACACTCTCCAGATCAGTGTAGCTATAGCACATAAAGACTTCAAAGTCTGCTGACACTTTACAGCTGAATCCTCACAAGTCCTTTCCATGATGGCTTCGTGTCCTTGACTCGAGATTTCTCAGCTACGACTGACTTCTCAAAAGTCGAAGTAAAAGTTAAAGTCACATTGCGACTGACGGTCAGTTAGTCAGTCGGTCTGTCGAGCCCAATCTGGAGCTTATGACCAGATATTTATTACTGTTTGACAGTTGCAGTCTTGTTATTGTGGGGCGCCTTCTCTTACTAGAAGATGGGTCTGTCTTTTGTCAGAGACGTTGTCTGCAGCAGTAAGTCATTTGTCATAATGTAAAGGATATTTACTTTTTACACGTTAAACATGATAATACATGTATTAAATACACAGGGCCTCTGTCAGTCTAGGTTCAGTACAGCAGATTGTGCCCTACTTTTAGTAGCTTCTGCTACAACGGCAGTCTAGTCATTTGAAAGTTCGTATGCTTGTTGCCTACATAATTTTGTTATATATTCATACACGTACAGAATTTTGAAAGCCGTGTGTAAATCACGAACCGGCGTGTGCCTTGGAAAATGTTCAATGGTGCGGAGAACGTTGTTTTGCAGGCGCTGCAATTTCATTAGATAGGTATCTGCCGCAAACTCCCAGGCGGGACTAGCATAAGTACTGACTTCTCGGTTATTATGGAATCTCTCTCACAGCTGCGGCACGGACCACATAGAAAGCACCCTCCCGTGTTGTCAGAATTATTGCGTAACTTAGTTGTAGCACAGCCCACAGAAAACATGGTTATCATTTTCGAGTGTTCGCGGGAACCTTTTTATTGAGCCGTTGCCTAGAAGAGGATTGCATAATCCCGTTGTTCTATTGTTGCGTGTTGGACCGTGTTTACGGAGTTGTTGCCTGGCAATGCGTTGGTCAAATCGGTTACACTATTGTAAAACTGTGTGAAAATGAATATGGTTTAGACTTACATATACATAACAACGTTTCGTATGTTGATGATGCCCAGATACCTATCTGAAGGGTTGAACCCTGCTCTTTCAAAGCTAAGAGCTCAGATGATTGGAATATGAGTAAAATGTATCGTACAGTTGTAGTGCTGAAAGAAACATTTTGTTATGAATAACGGAGAAACTCTCTGCGGCAGTAAAGAGGATGTGCCGGTATTGGTGACAGTTTACAACGAATCACACTTTCCTCCCGCTTTTGCTTATTGTGTTGATGTTTGTAATGTCGCTTATTCAAGCAATTTCTGCATATTCATCAGGTTTATTTGGAAATGAATTATTACTAATACAATAGTTCGTTAGAATGTTGATGGGTTTTAGTCTACTTTCCAAATTTGGAAGAAATTAAAGTAGGCTTATGATATCACCTTGCTGTCTCTGTGTTTCATTGAGTATTCTCCTTGTCTTTGCTAGGCAACGGCTCAGTAAATACTTTCCTGCAGTAACTAATACAGAATAAGTAACTGAAAAAATTGTTGAACGTGTTGTTTTATGGGGTCCGTGTCATATAGAAAGAAATTGGACGATTAGTTTTCAAAGCTTCTCATTATTTTTAAATTAATCTTGTTCTTTGACTGGATACGCCATTTTGAATTAGAAATATTCAGCAGTTACAAATTGTAGTTTTTTATTTGTGTAACAACGCTTTCAGCAATCAGATTGCATAGTATCGAACGATAGATGTTTGTTGAATAAGGAGTTGGAAGCTTCGTGGAAGCAAACGATTCTGGCCAAATTTCACATATTATCCCAGGAGAAAAATTCAAATTCTCAGTCGGTACAGCCGGTCAGCGGACTAGAGAATTGAACCCTGGGCCTCCGAAACACGAAGCACGGGCACTGCTTTCCATGACCAATTTGTCATAAGAAAATAGAAGATGGATGGCTCTATGCAATTTAAAATTCATAACATCGAGACAAAATATTAGGGTCTTCTGTGATATTTCTCAGCATTTGGGAAACTTCTTCAGGAGTATATTGGAAAATTTCTTTTCATTATTCTGAGTACTATTCATAACAGTTATAAATGTAAGAGATTTCCTTTTCACTTCTCTTTCCTGCATCATGGAATTTCGAAATACCCGATAGGTTTTGTCTTTGAGTGTACTATCCGTCAATAGCCACTGACGCACTATCAGAGACTATTGAGCATACAGATTACTAAATTTTATAGCCCGTGGTTTTGATGAACATCACTTCAGTTTGATATAGATGTGCTTCAGTTTTGTCCTGTATTGATTGTCAGGTTTTTACGCTTTGTGTGTGTTGCGTGTGTGCTGGTGGCATGGCGTCCACCACACTGCATGTCGCATAATTAATCAATCAGATTCACTTTGGCAAGTCACAGTATGACGTCACGGTGACAAAGCGCTCGACAATTAATAACCTGTTGAGGTAACAGTAGCATGTCACTTGTGGGTTTGGTCGTTGTACTTGATAAACTTGCTCACTGGATTTGAAACTTAACGCTCTTAAAAAGAGACACCCCAAATGCGCCTCGCTTCGAATTATCGGCGTATGAAGAACTTCATTAAACATTTACTGACCCTCGGAATATCAGTAGCCTCAGGTGCACACCAATTTCTTCCGATCTGTTCGGTTTTTCTTAGTTTATTCGAAATTCCTTTTATTACGTATCCATATAAATTTTTAAGCTGAGTTTCGTAATACGTCATGCAATTTATGTAATTATTGTCACTAAATCGGTAAGAATAATTATGGAAGTTATAGTTGTGAAACTTGGTCTCTGACATTTAGGGAGGAACATAGACAGGGTGCTTGAGAACAGGGTGTTGAGAATATTTGGACCGAAGAGAGATGAAGTGACAGGAGGTTGGAGAAAACTCCAAAGTGAGGAGCTTCATAACTTGTACTCCTCTCCAAGTATAATTAGAACGATCAAGTCAAGGAGGATGAGGCGGGCAGTGCATGTAGCACAAATGGTAGAGAAGAGGAATACATATAGGCTATTGGTGGGAAAGCCAGAAAAAAGCGACCGCTTGGAAGACCAAGGCGTATGTGGGTGGTCAATATAAAATGGATCTTAGAAGGATAGGATGTGATGGTATGGATTGGATTTATCTGTCTCATGATAGGAACCAGTGGAGGGCTCTTGTGAACTCAACAATGAACCTTCGGGTTCCATAAAATGCTGGGAAATCTTGAGTAGTTGCAGAATTGGCGGCTCCTCCAGAAGGGCTCGGCTCCATGAATAAGTATTTTTATTGCTAGTGGGGTGGGACTGAGTCCCTTGTACTGCGGTCATTTCTGGCCTATTGTACAAGCCCCAGATGATAGGTGAGGGTGATTGTGGACCAATTGGTGGAATGAAGATTGGCAGGGGAAACCGAAGTACTCGGAGAAAACGTGCCCCAGCGCCACTTTGACCACCGCAATTCCCACTTGACCATACCCGACATCGAACCCGGGCCGCCGCGGTGGGAAGCCAGTGATTAACCGCTTGAGCTATGGCACAGCCGAGTAAGTAAGTAAGTAAGTAAGTATAGCTGTATATTAATGGTGAATTATCGGAAATGAAAGCACGGAGAGCTTCAACTCCACTTCCACGTAACCATAAACTGAAGTTTATGGAGTGCCCGAGAGTAAATATGTGAAGAACGAAAGTTCGTAACAGTGTTTTCGAAATGATTATTCAATTTTATCCGTTGGTTTATATGCATATGAAACTTAGTATCTTAACCTGGCGAAGAAAGAAGACTGAGGTTGTCTGAGAACAAGGTACTGAAGAAAGTATATAAGCTTAGGGGGAGGGAGTAACAGAAGAATAGAAAGAATTGATAGTAAAGAACTTCACGATTTGTGATGTTCATCAAATATTATTGTAGCGATAAAATTAATGAGGTTTGGTGGATATCGCATGCAGGATGTTTGGAAATCCTATTGGAAATCTCTAGCTTCGACCTTGGAGCTTGTGAGTAACAAACCAGTATGTTTAACACTTGCTTTCCATAAAGACATAATTGTAGTATGCGTGTTGACACTGCTGTCCAACTGTAACCTACACGATGTAATTTCGCTGCAGTTCTGGCCTATCAGGTCAGTAGAGGTGCAAGTATATCTCAGGCTTCTAAAAGGCTGTGCTGTTCTTCTATCGCCGTTTCGCTTCATATTTCACTTACTTACTTACCCATGGAGCTGAGCCCTTCTGGAGGAGCCGCCAATTCTGCAGCTACTCAAGAATTTCCCAGCATTTTATGGAACTCGAAGGTTCATTGCCGTGTTCACAAGAGCCATCCACTTGTCCCTACCCTGATCCAGAACAATCAAGTCAATACCATCCCATTCTATCTCTCTAAGATCCATTTTAATATTCTCCACCTACCTACGCCTTGGTCTTCCAAGTGGTCTCTTTCCTTCTGGCTTTCCCACCAATATCCTATATACATTCCGCGTCTTCCCCATTCGTGCAACCTGTCCTGCCCACTTCATCCTACTTGTCTTTATCATTTTAATTATACTTGGAGAAGAGTACAAGTTATGAAGCTCCTCATTTTGGAGTTTTCTCCAACCTCCTGTCACTTCATCTTTCTTCGGTCAAAATATTCTCAACACCCTGTTCTCAAACACCCTCAGTCTATGTTCCTCCCTTAATGTCAGAGACCAAGATTCACACCCACACAGAACCCCAGGGAAAATTAAATGTTTCTATATTATAAATTTTATGTTTTTGAAAGGACCTCTTCTTGCTAAATACCCACATTAGTAGTATGTTTACTAAGATAGTGACATCGATAAATTTTAGAAGTAGTATGAAGTGGCCGGTATAACACATTTATCCTTCCTTATAATCACGTTTTTCTTTCGAACTTACGTATCTAAGTCTGTAATCGCAGTCAAATTAATTGTGTGGCAAAGGATTTATAACGAAAATTCTGCTCTTGAAACTTACCGTGTACGTCAACACAGCCAACTTGCTTCTTCATGACGCTGGTGTTGATCTGGCACATGTAGCAGCCACGGTCGGACTCCTTCACTTGACGGATGTGCAGCTGCCACGTGCGGTAATTGTCGTGTGTCACGCTGATCCGTGAATTGTGCGTCACGATCTTGTTGTGAAGCGTCAAGATTGTCTGGTCCTCCGCCTTCATCCAGCCCACCTTCGGAGCAGAAATATCACATTCACTATTAATCACACCAACAGGGGCGAAATGTGAGTTCGTGGTGCAGAATCTGTGTAAAGATTCGGCCACACAGAGCGCTACGCTATGTTCGCTACGTACGGTAAGTATGCTGTGTACACTTTGCGACGCAGCTAACATAGGGAACATAGCGTACGTAGCGTACGGAAGTCTATGTGGCCAGTCACATTGGTAATAAAGGGAGATATTTTTCTGTTCGTATAGCGTACGTAGCGCTCTGTGTGGCCGAACCTTAAAATACATCTCGCGAAGTTAAGATCTACAAACCCACAAGTATACACTAGATAAATAAACCATGATCTTGTACCAGAAACCAGAAAAATTGCACAGGCTCTTGTCTTTTAGCCAGTATTTGCAGTCCTCGAGTTCCTCTCTCTTAAACGGTACTCATAAATGTGTAATGAAGAGGGGGGGAAAGAATTCTTATATTTTTATCGGCGTATTAAACAGAAGGACGAATAATACGTATTTATGTGCCTACAGAAGCAAACATACCTTATCACAAATTTTATATTGTGAAACTATGTTGGTGTATTTGTCAGTAAGAAACACCTGATATAATTATTCTTTTTGTTTTTATTAGCACCTTGCAGGAATAACGATTAGAACATTTTGTAGCTTCTACTAAAGAAACGACGGATGAACTCGGCCCCCAACCAGCAGTTCCAGTCTCACCATGTGTTGGTGGCTGAAGATGAGACGCTCCAAGCGCTAGTCTGCCGCACTGGGTATGGTGTAGTGGAAGCCCTTCATTGAATGTCTCATTATGAGCTGTCTAGAGAGCTATCTATTGATTTTAGACACTCACTGAAATTAATTATTATTATTAAATCCATTCTTGGTTTGTTACACCTTGTGGATGTAGTCAGTGTTGCCGGTGTTTCCGAGGTACAAGCTGCGTACGCCTCCCGTGTCGGAGTGCGTGGGTTCGTGAGTTTCTGTTTATACACAGTACTGTCATCCGGAAATCAACAAAGGAAGATAATGTGGGGATTGGTGCCTCGTCTGAGCTGCTAGGGACGTGGGACCGGGAATTGTGCAGGCAGCAAGTACATGGGAATGCAGCAAAATCCACTAGGCGACAGGTATTCTCGAGCGGTTGCGTATCCAAAAGCTGCTGTTGGACTTGGGGAGGAAACAGTACAGGCTGGTGACGGTTATTGAGCGAACAGCGCTTGCATAGCAAGGGCTTCTACGAAGCGCCATGTGCAGGAAATGTGGTCAGGAGGAGAAATCCTTCTACCATATGGCACTTTGCTACTGCCCATGTTTGACTATGCATAGAATAAAGATCTTCCGATCTGCGTGGGTCGATTCGATACATTTCAGTCAAGAAAGCTGTACCAAGGCTAGATCACCGCGTATCAATCTGCCCAGTTTTCTGAATCCTAGAAGCGACTGGTAGACGTTCATTCCTCCCAATTCAATATAACACGCTCTACCTAATACACTAAAATTTTCATAACGCCGAGTGTATGTTCCCCATATATATATTAAAATTCAATTTAAAAACTTAGGTTTTTATTGTAGGCCTCTGTGCTCCTTGCTATTTATTCAGTGTGACGCGATTCTTAACCGTTGAAAGTGAATACTGGGGTCATCGGCTCTTCACTACAGAACATGTATGTTAACGGGCTCATCTGAATGAAATTGAACTCATTTCGGATGTATTATTATTCGCTGTCACTCTACCCGCAATGTATGGAACTGCCAAGTATATTTTGTAAGCTTCTGTTGCCCGAACCAATTAAATTTCTCCCTGTGAAGTAAAGAGCTTATTCTGCTCTCACGGCTGTGCGAGAGCTTGCAGATTTCCGTTGTTGTGATTCTGTACATCAGTTTGTGAGTTTGTTACCAGAGAATTATGAGCTGTGTACTGAGCCAGTGTCTGAACAAGTTACCTACTGCATGTTCACAATGCGGAGATGATGATACAATAAGGTCGTTCAGAAAGGCAACAGAGTTTCCTTGGATTCAACAGTTACACATGCACATAATTGTCCTGTCAGAACAGTTGGGTCATGAGTCAAGACAAAGTTTGAGACAGATTATATACTGAAACTGAACTGTACCACATTTTCAAAATATGTACAAATCGAAACCTGATTCAGGAGGAAATTAAGAGGAGATTGAATTCAGGTAATGCTTGCTACCATTCAGTCCAGAACCCTTTGTCTTCTCGTCTACTGTCCAAAAACATAAAAATTAAAATATACAAAACTATAATTTTGCCTGTGGTTCTGTATGGGTGTGAAACCTGGTCTCTGACATTAAGGGAGGAACATAGACTGAGGGTGTTTGAGAACAGGGTGTTGAGGAGAATATTTGGACCGAAGAGAGATGAAGTGACAGGAGGTTGGACAAAACTGCATAAATGAGGAGCTTCATAACTTGTACTCTTCTCCGAGTATAATTAGAATGATCAAGTCAAGAAGGACGAGGTGGGCAGGGTATGTAGCACGTATGGGGGAGAAGAGGAATGCATATAAGATATTGGTAGGAAAGCCGGAAGGAAAGAGACCACATTGACGGCCAAGGCGTTGGAGCGTGGACAATATTAAAATGGATCTCAGAGAGATATGATGGGATGGTATGGACTGAATTGATCTGGCTCAGGATAGGGACCAGTGGAGGGCTCTTGTGAATATGGTAATAAACCTTCTGGTACCATAAAATTTTGGGAAATTCTTGAGTAGTTGCAGAATTGGCGGCTCCTCAAGAAGAGCTCAGCTCCATGAGTAAGTAAGTAAATATGCATTGAAAGTGTATCTTTTTTATTTTTGCTGTAATCATCCATCCGAGAGTTTCCATTCAACCAATGCAGGTAACTTTCAGCCTGTGAGGTTCGAATATTTCTCAATTCAGTGAAGCCTGAATATGACAAACCCCAAGGGATATTGACGCTTCATTTCCGGGAAGGTTTCAATTGTACAATGGCATTTTCCTTTGTTTAAAGTAATACTTAATAGTGCATAGAGGCAGCGCCATAGCTCAAGCGGTTAGTCACTGGCTTCCCACAGCGGCGGCCCGGTTTCGATCCCGGGTCTGGTCAAGCAGGATTTATGGTGGACAAAGTGGAGCTGGGGCAGGTTTTCTCCGAGTACTTCGGTTCCCCTGCCAATCTTCATTCCACCAATTGCTCCACAATCACCCTCACCTATAACCTGGTTTTGGTACAAGTGGCCGCAGTACAAGGGACTTAGTCCCACCCCACTAGCAATACAAAATAATAATAGTGCAAAACCTGCATATTTGGCATGTACTGTCTTCGCTCGCTTGGAAACCAGGATCGTGTGTTCGAATCCCACTCAGGGCAAGGATGTTTACTTTGTGTGTGTGCGCGTTATTTTGTGTTTGTTTACAGGTAGAGGCCTTGCGACGAGCTCATCACTCACCCAAGGAGTCCTACCGAATGTGTAAGATCTAGAAAAACCAAAGTGAACGAGAAGTTCATGGAGGCAGGCCTAGGCCCACTGGGGCTGTAGTGCCAAGGAGAAAACCTTGCACATTTATACATTGACAGTCCAAATCAAGTCAGTTGTCTTTGCTGTATGTATATAGGACCTACACCACTTATACCGGAAGATACAAATTTTGATTTCTTCCTTCCTTTTCTTTTTCCATTGGCTGATTAAAATGTGTGTTTTGCATAAGTTTTATCAACGATTGAGCGCAATCCCTTCTGAATATTCATTTTCGCAAATTTTATAGTTATGAGAGCTTGGACCAAAACTTCGTGAGCAGAAAACAATCAGAGGAGTTGCAGTCAATTTCGTTCTTTCGTTACGGTCTCAGCATTAAGAACGTTGGGTTTCATTTAATGCTATTTATATGTCAAACATTTTCCTTATTGAAGAGGTTTCAGAGATTTTCAAGGAAAGTTGCTATTTTTACATTTATAGTAGGGTATAGTGCTTTAAGTTATAAAAATAATATATAAAATTACAACATCATAAAATTTTGTGCAATCATTCATATTTTATTTCCACCATGTTGGTTTTCAATCCTTAATTATTTACTTCTATATTTTGTTCAGAAATTTACACAATTTTCAGATATATTATGTGTGTGCCTTACACTAATGCAAATTGTGAAGTCATATCTATTTGTTCGAGATATTTGATCTTCTAAGCTGTTCATAGGATACTGATTGCGTTTTAGTATCACGAATCCACGTATCGATTCCCAGGCGACTTCTATACCGTTCTGTATAGACCTGATATGAAGTCTACTTTACATGCATCTGATACGAACTTTCATGGTTTCAAACTCGCTTCGTAGCACAAAATATTAGAAAATAGCAGTGTATGTGCGTTGCTAGGTAAACGCGACAAGAAAATTTACATGGGTTTCGGATTTAGCGAATATGTTTATTGGACACTCACTTTTACACTCACAAATACAATTATTCGCAACTTGTGACGTCTTCGGGCCTCTCCTCTGCACTGTTATACACTCTCGCACCGCTAAACTCGGTTAGTGTCTTCTGCTCTGCTCGGAGCTCAAATGTCCTTAGCTCAAGTCAAAGTCAAAGTCTCATTGCCACTGACGATCAGTCACTGAGTCAGTAAGTCTTGGTGTCGAGCCCATCTGGAGCTCATGACCAGATATTTATTGCTGTTTGACAGTTTCGGTCTTGTTTTTGTGGGGCGCCCTCTCTGACGAGAGGATGGGTCTGTATTTGGTATATGCTGCTGGCATATTTTACTGTCACAGATGTGAGACTTCCCTTTTCGTCGCCTCCTACCACTCCCAGCGTCCTTAGCTCTCGCCGGATACGAACTATTATATCTTGCACTCGGGTTGGATAGGGAACACCTTGTAGAAGGGTTTGGTTTCGCCCGCTGCTATGCAAACGGTTTTCTTGTTTCCGCGGGAATACAAGTTTACGGTCTCAAATAATTCGTTTGTATCGGTTTGCTAGCTGTTGTAACTGTGGAAACCCAGTTGTTGTTCAA